GGAGTCATCGAGACGTGATGGAATGGTTCCTTCACGAACAAGGGACACTCCTTCAAAATGGGACTGTCTTGGAAAGGAGAGGAAGACCCAGAGGCCGCAACCGCCGCAGAACTTCCAAGATCGCGGACATCTTGTAAGCTTCTTTCGTGTTTAATAAACGGTTGTGTTGTTTGTAAACGAGGCATCTATCTCTGACTCAACTGCTTCCACATGTCGTTGATTGTTACCGCTCGGCAATCCAAACGGCAAGGGAGACGATGACGATACATATCACATATTATCGTTCGTCGAGAATTTTTAAATTTCTCCCCCCCCCCTCGGCCCCCACAAATCTATTTTTTATTATTGTTTAATATGCCATTTCAATTTTTCTAAGCTATTCCTACCCTCAGTTAGCTTGAAACAAGAACACACTATTCTTACTTTTTGCTTTGTATACTTTTATTGCATATAAATACAGACCTACTCTAATTATCAAAATACATAAACAGTAATACTCTGTAGCTGTTTCAATGTAATTATTGATTCCAAGTGTGCTAAATATTTCTGTTTCTCCTATTAAATCTGTGCACAAATGTCTTTGGAAAAGGCTTTAGAAAAATCATGCACGAGCTAACTGGTTTTCCTAACACAGCGTCATATCATATTGGTATTTGTCATCTCTAAAGGAAAACCTACACTCCTTTCCAAGAACTGCACATTTTGAATGCTTTTAAACAAAAATCTTATCTCCGGACCTACCCAGTTCACAGATAACTCCTTCAGCGAGAAGCTTGACATACTGGCATGTCAAGCTGTACTTCCTTTTATAATGTTCAAACATTTAGCCACCTTCAGTTTTGCAAGACTGACTTTATTAAACAGTTTACACAAATACAATAAATAATTAAGTAAAACTATAAAAGCAGATCATTACATGTGTTTCCTTTAATTTTTTTTAAAGAGACATATTTGATAGACATTTCCAAAAGAACAATTTTTGGGAGCAACCCATATAAAAAATGGTATAAACAGAAAAATCGTAGGACTGCTTACCAAGTATGCAGTGATGCATTTAAGACATCATTGCTTAAGCTTGTTTTCATCATGGAGCACCATGTTGGGTGGTGGGCATGTACAAAATATATCATTTGACCTTGCTTTAATGTCACTCTGTCACTTACCTCAGCCACATGACATCTGATGTATTTCCTGAGAATTTTCACCAAAAGACTTCATTGTTTTGAACTGAACATATGATTCACTTTTTTTCAGACTCTGGAGAGTCTGGACCACAGTTTGATAAGCATTGTGTTCATTTCCAATAACACTGTAACATTCTATAACAAAACCCACCAAGTTAAAATTCGACAAGAAAAATTTATTTTTCAAGATTAACTGTACAAAAAACAGAACAAATAAAATAATAAATAATAGAATTATTTTATATTCAGATTAAATGCTTATAACCCTAAAAAAATAAATAAATAAATATATGAGGGTTATTTTTAAAATAAGGTCTGTTTTTTAATAAGAAGAAAAATACAGTGGGTGATTGGTTAATGAACNAGTCGAATTAGTCTAGAATCGATTAATTTTATGAAAGAAAACCTTTCAAACAGCCGTAGTCCGTAAACTATGATTCCTATAAAATTGATTCATAAAGAACGGAACGTATCTACCGTCTTATAGGGGGATCTACTGTAATTGATAATATTTTTAGGTCATTAACTTTATTTAGAAGTTGTTATAATTTTTAAAACAATTAAAAAAAAGAAAATAAGCCGAAGATAGGACAGAATCTAGATTGTCCACATGGCAAGCAATTTTGCTACAGAATCAGCCATTTTGATGTGCTGCCATAGTGTAAAATCGACTAGTATATGAGCTGCACTTAAAACTTTAGAACCCTTTTTCTCGAAATCTTCTGGCTAGTGCGCTTTACAATTCTTCTGGGTGGACATCCTTGAGGTATACTACTAACCTGTGAAATCTCATCCCGAACTGAATTTCCGAGACCGTAAGGTCCCCTTGTTAGATTTTAATTTTTGCATACTTCAAATTCCTCATTTGAATTCATAATATAGTTAACTTTCATTGTTTCATAAAGAACATGGCAACTTGCAGCACAACATCAGAATGCAATGTAACATGACAATTGGGAATAAAATGGAAAAGTAATATATCATCTTGTTTATAACTTCCTAATATATTTAAAAAAACTATTTTCCAGAAGTTTCAATCTGTGAATAAACAAGTTTGCCCATATAATGCTAGGCATTATGTTTCTGAATCAGAATTTCAACATCATTTAGCAACTTGTTCAGATAAAGAAGCTGTTGATAAAAAAGTTATTGGTAAGTATGAAAAATTAAATGTTTTTGTTGCTAACTTAACATTTTAGAACAATATTTGAAAGAAGAAAAATGTTACTAGAATTTGGAATATTTAGATTGAAAATGTTTCTATAATTGAAAGAAAAAAGTTTTGATTTCAGTTCATTTATTAAATTGTGCTATTTTTTCTATTGTAAAATTTTCCTCATGAAGATAAATAGTAATCGTTTAAAAGACTTGCAAGATGTTCAGTTTAAATGTAACTTTTACTTCAATAAACTTGTACAATTGAATTTTATTCTGTTTTAGTTTATATATTTCATTGTTTATTTTAATTAAAAATTTTATATGTATCTTGTTGTGTTATTTAATATAATTGTAATATATAATTTCAAAAAATAACATTTGATTTAATTGTGGGAATTGTCATCATATAGAATTTGTTTTAATTTCTCTTTTGATTTGCAAAAGTTTTGATTACTATATTATTTTAGATCTTTCAAAAGATAGCACATTTAAAGGAAGGACTGCTGTTCCATCTTATTTTGGTTACAAACTTCCAGAAGAAGAAAATTGGGAAAATGACAATAGTAAGTTTAAAATCAAAAATGTCTTAATAATTTTCAATAGATACATGGAAATATTTGTGAGAAAACATTATATTTTACCAAATCTATATGGCAATTTTCTTTCTAAAAATAATTTAAGAAATTTAAATGAATTTAAATTGATTTTTTAAAGTTTTACAAGAAATATGGTAAAAATATTGACATATAATAAATATGTCAATATTAATGTATGCCTGTCATTAAAATAATTTTAGTGTTAGGGAATAAAATGTATAATTAAAAGTGTATTGTATCAACTCACTAAAATTCATTTGAATTTGATATCTATGATAAATTGCTTGTAAATTAGTGGTTCTTGAACTTTTTCAAAAAATACAGTAACATTTATCAGGACTGACCTAGTGCCAGGTTATTGAATATGCTGGCCTATTGAGTGGTTGTTTTTCCAGTTTTTTTGATTCTCTGGACACAATTTTACATATCTTTGCATGTAAAATTGTAAAAATCTGTGAGGCTCTGGACAGGTCCAAACCCTCACTAAAATTCGCGGAAAATAATTGTTTTAGAAAAAAATATTTAGTAGTTAGAAATAGATTTTTATTATATGAAAATGCGACGCTAACTTTAAAACAATAGAAGAAGGTAAGTCCGTCGACCATTTCCGGTTGGAGATCGAATTAAACTTCGATTTTGACCTCTCTCGCGCCCCCGAAAGGTTTCGAATTGTCATCAGGTGACGACGGGAGACCAATCGGAAAGGGGAATCTGAAAGAAAACAGATAAAACCCCGGAAATTCGAGGACGCGACGGCTTCTTCTCCCGAAAGTTCCAAGTGACGGATCTGTTGTTGTGTGTGTGTCTCGCACCCATCTTCGTCTCCATCTCCCGACCTCGGATCGACAACTTTCCATCAACGGAAGTCGACCGCATCGTCCTGGAGTCGTCGAGACGTGATGGAATGGTTCCTTCGNAAAAGACAGTTACCATGATCTTTCGTGCTGAAATCGAATAACAGATTGTATCTTACAGTCGGCGGGCGACTCAATTTTCTTAAACATTATAAACTTTTACAATTCAACATACAGACAGACAATAGGGCTGCAAATGGCATCTAAACATGCGCAAAGCATGCTGAAAACGGATGCTCATGCACACTGCTGCAATCGTGCGTCATTCTCCCTCTCATTCACAAACAGACCTTATTTAAAAAATAGCCCTCATAAATTTATCTAAATTTACAAATATATGTTTTATATAACTAATTATCTTATTTTAAAATTTAAACCAGCAACGAGTTGCTCAAATTTCCTGGCAACATTAAAAAGTTTGGTGGCGTCATCTGTAATCATATTTTATTGAAAAACTTTTTATATTTTTAACTATTATAAAATGGCAAAAAGCTTAATTTTGAGGGTAGGGATGAGATTTATAAAAAAATTGTAAATGCTAATAACGAGTGAAATCATCATTAAGTTAGATTCTACTGGAGATACAGATGACCCTCATTATCTCCCCCCTCAAATGACTTCCAAGATTTTTAGTTTTTGATACTCTGGGCCTTGAAATGTCAAGAAAAGCATGGATTATGTTATGTATGGATATTAATGTGTGTGTGGGGGGCACAATTTTGTTCACTTTTTGAAGATTAATAATGCCTGTGCTTTATGTCCAAAATGTCTGAAATTTTGCAGGGAGGTTTATATATTAGGGGATTGATGCTACTAAGTTTTGATGGTTAAAGGTCAACAGGGTGGGGAGATAAAAGGGGGTCGTGCTATATCTTAATGGACTTAAATGATGATTTTACTTGTTGTTAACATTTATAATTTTTTATTAAACCCATCCTTACTTTCAAAATTAAGCTTTTAGCCATTTTATAATAACATAAAAAGTTTTTAATAATAAAATATCATAACAGATGGAGACATACATGCAGTTTTAAATGTTGCCAGGAAAGTTAATCAACTCATTGCTGGATTTTTAGAACTAATTATGAATGTTAGAAGTAAAGCTGCTGAATTATTTAGAAAGTAACATAATATTAAGTATTTGACTAACTTGTCAATGTTTTATAAATTAGTAAATATTTAAATTTTAATTTGAATATTTGATTTTATAAACATAATCAATATGTTTAATTTTGTAAAATGATATTAACTTAGTTTACATTAAATAGATGACAATGAAATTTCTTATTCAAGAGAATTAAGTATTTGTCAAGAAAATGAAGAAAGAGCAATATCAACCATTGATTCAAAAATAAATTCCAGGTATTACAAGAATAGCTATAAAGTATTTTTATTTAAAGATTTTTTTGTCTTAAATTTATTGAAATTTACCAGTAAAATTGGTTTTTTTTTAATTTTTATAATAATAAATTATTTTACATGATATTCTCTTTTAAAATAATGCTACATATAATAATACTAGCTGTGTTACCCATTGTTGACTGCAGATACTTTTTTGTAAAATTATATTTACTTATCTAATCTAAAGAGTATATCTGCAGAGAATTGTTTGTTACAGATTCATAATATAGCTATTAAAGATGTGGAATATTTTCTAGATAAGTTATCAAATAACCTCCTGATATACAACATTTCATGTTTTATTATCAGGGGCACAAATGAACAGAGATTTGCAGCTACTAACACATGAGCATGCAACATAGAGTTTGCCATGTAAAAGTCAACTGCATCTCAGGTCAAGTCCTGCAACTCTTAGGCATTGGTGTTGTGACTTGTTAATGGTCATTGCAAAGCATAGACTGACTGGAAATTGTAGACATTTAAATTTGAATGGGTACTTTGTCAGGATTAACAGTATGCTATTAAATGTTATATCTGTCCTTGAATTTTAAATGTTGACATGAAATTTCTTTCAAGTATTTCAGCAGCATCAAACTTGTCATTTGGAAGCTATTGTAAGACCTAATGTTCTTTAAGAAATTGAGTCCCATTTAATAGTGATAGAAGAGGTTCAGGGTGAGCAAAAACATTCAGCTTAACTTTGCCAGAAGAGTAGCACATCCCCTGTGATTTATTCTTCCGCTTCAGAACACTGCAGTACCTACATACTTTATTCATACACCCAATATTAGCTAGCATAATAGTCTAAAAGAGTGTCATAAATGAAGGCACTTCAGAACTTTTTGTGCCAAGGAATTAGTACTCCTTGTCCACTCAGAGGCGCACTCAGATACTCAGAGTGGCTTGCCATTCTCTCTGAGAACTAAGCCTAACCTGTCTCAAAGACAGGTTCTCTGAATCTCTAGACAGTCTTACCTGTTTACTTTTCCTTGAAAATCAGCCAAGGTTTTGCATTCTTGAGTAGCCATAATCTTCACTCACACAAATAAATAAATCTCATGCAAGTACAGTTAGGCCTAATGAATTACAAACACAATATGTAATGGTTCGAAAAACCTGTCATATGTACATATTGCCATCTAGCATGATGATGTCACATTTTTAATGCCTCGAAGATTTTGCTAATTAACTAATTATTCTATAATGTCAGTTCTTCAAATATAATAGTAAACTTCAATAATACATTTTTCTTATAAATAATTCCTTGGCAGGAAGTATTAATTTGTGTGTTGCCATCTAGTGAAGAGAGAGACAAATAGACAAACAGAAATCCATTTAATTTAATTTAATTTTAATCACAGTTTAATTTAATTAATGTAGATTTTGAGATGATTTGTATCTATAAACCTTCTCCTGGACCGACAGATTCAAAATATGAAGTTTGGTTAAAATACGCATCATAGGAAAACATTTAAGCATTTTCCTGTGATGCAGCAACAAACATTTTGACCACTACAATTTTATTTATATAGATATGTATGTTTACATTCATATATGTTTTAATAAATTTTTATACTCAAACTTTATTTGATTATAAAGAATAATCTTACATTTAGTCAAAGATTTATCATTGCATGATGATACCATATACTAGTGGTTCTCAAAATATCATTTGTAGACTACTGGTGGTTTGCAAGCATATATCAGATAGTCTACAGACTGAATTGGTTAAATAGTGTAGCATTTATTTTTTTTTTGTTTGTCTTTGGTTGTTGACTCAAGACAATAAGTTTACTGTGTATTCTATACTATGATACATATATTCTGTTGCTAAACAACATGGATATTCACCTAAAACTAATAAGAGGTTAATTAAAAAGTATTTCTCATACAACCAGTCATGAAAGGAAAACTATCCTGTGTAAAGTGGTTACTTATTAACAACACATGTAATGCCTTTGCTTATTTGTTTATAAATCAAAATTGCATACAAATGAAATACAAACATCTATTTCCTACTCAGAAATGCTAAGGAAAGGTGGATAAAAACAAGCTACCAGGACTATATATCATTTCAGTAAATGACATCAGAATTAACTAAAAGTTAGAATATATAGGAGCAATCATTCAACATAAGAAGAAAAGAACATCAAGTCTCCGTTAATAAAAGACTTTCTGATACTGCTTTAACCTCATATGTACTGGATGACCAAAGTAAAGGTGTGCTATTTGAAGACATTCATTCTACATTTATTATGTAAGGAATAAAACACACCTGAAACGTATGGAGTGGCTGGAAATTTACAATGCCAATTTTAGAAAAAAAACAATAAACTTTAAAGACAATTACACTGTTGTGGGTGTGTAGAGATCCTTTTTCTGAAATTTCATAATTTAAAAAATATTCTTATGACATGTGGAAGGGTGTAATCAAACTTATGTTTGAATCTGATTAAATTTTTAACTGTACATTCTATTTTAAAACATTAAATTACCTGATGGTGTCTAATGAATATGGCCAAAAGCATTTGTAAAAGATCAAAGTTTATTTATTTATATTAATTAGTGCTGGTTTATTTGATTGGTTTATATGCAACATATAAACAAACATCAGCTAACCCGATAAACATTAAAGCAACCAAAGTTGTATAATTATTAAATTTAGCATGAGATGGCACCTAATGCCTAACTCTAATACCAAATTATCTCAAATTATTATTATTATTATTATTATTATTATAGCCATTTCTAGCCTGTTAATTCGGCTTTGGTTGCTTTAATGTTTTATGCAACAATTTATCTAGTTAGTAAACATGTAGAGTTATAAATGTATTGTGTATTTTCAGCAAATAATTCTGAATTCTTTATAAAATTAAGTTTATCTAAATATAGTTAAATATATATTAACTAACATTGTTATAAGTAGAGATCATATTTGTTAATGATAATTAAGTATTCACTACCAATAATTATAATTGTTAGTGAATACTTAAATGCTATTTATAGTAAAATAATGTGCACATAAATTGCCTAGTTTATGCAATAGTAAACATAATTTGTTATTCAAAGAGAAGAAAAAGAAAGAAAAATGTTAGATATGTACAAAAAAATGATAATAAATAATGTTTGAGTAGACATAATTGAAATTAATATTCAAAATAACAAAAATAGTTTTTCNTAAATTCCGTACATCCAGAAAAAGGATTATGCGATGTAGAAAAAAAAAAGTTATAATCGGCGCAAAACACTTGCTTATGAAGATCAACATGAGGAAGCAGAGAATCACTTCTTTGCGCTCTTCTGTGAGTCTGATCCGTTTTAAAAGCGAATATTTTAATTAGAAGAAATGAATAGAAGACTTTGTAGAAATAGCGAGAAGAAATTATAAAGTAGCTGTTATATTTTGTGGAAATAGGAAAGTAGAAACGCGCATTAAAACCCAAATATAAGCATGAAATCACTGGCTTTTTGGTGATTGTAGGAGCGAAAATTTTGCACCCTACGGTGAGATTAACAGAAAAAGGAAACGTAAACGACTTTAAAATTTAAGAATAATGCAGCGCGATGAAACGCGATCTTTTAAATTATAAGAGGTATATAATTGCACGCGAGTGAAAAAAAAGAGGAAAGTTAGAACAAAAAAAAGTCATAAAGTCCAAAGAGTAGTAGCATAAGGTTCCCTTTGGATGACAGAACCTAAGATGACACTGTTTACAACGTAACTACATCATTTCCCCAAACCAAAGGTCGAAACATATTATTGCTGCCGACTCGGATCAAATAAAGTATAAACTGTAAAAGGAGAGCTCTTTCTCTCTTTTTAAAGAGGACAGAGGTCACCTTAAATGAAAATGTTTCGGAATAAGAAAAACAATACAAATTATTTGTCGTTAATTGATAATGTCAATGTTACGTGATTGTAGATAAGGGATGATACAATCCGATTATAATGACGGAACAATGTGTTCTTCGGTGAAAATTTTGTTTAGAAGTAAATATGTAATTTGGTTTGAACCTGCATTAATCGACAGGATATGTTTGTCGCAAATTGAAAATTCTCAATGGTATTTATCAGAAAAAGTTTCAACATGATATGATCACCATGAAGAAACATGTGATCCGATTGTGTTTAAGTTGAAAATTTTGATTGTAATTCGTTACAGAATATTGCTTGTACTTGTATTATTGAAACAGTATTTTGTTATGGTGAGAAAACTCGCGTTTTGAAAGAAAAACAGAATTGTCGCGATCGAGTTTTCCTGTGACGAACATTGGTTAAAGATAGAGTAATTCATATGGTTCAAATTTTAGGAAAATTTCCCTCATCCCAAAATTTATATGAAAAGGTAATTATATCAGTCACAACCAAAAACTGGCTTAAATGCACCATTGAAAAGCGGAGTATAGAATGGAAGTAAAACGGACAACACGAAGTTGAATGAGGACCTTGATTTGCGGTAATCTGCTTTGGAAGAAAACCAATGACAGAAAACTGTCACTTGTTCAATTGATAGTCTGAAATCACTTCCGAATTCCGAATTAATTTTCAATCAACCAATCGATTCTGGGAATCGTAGACTTAGAACAGTGATCTTGATTTGCAACTGACTGCATCCAAGAGATGACAAAGTTGTTACTTGTTCGAAGAACAGAAACTCAGATATCGAGTTGATTCAAATAATCGAAAAATACTTCGGCAAATTTTCCCTGGAATTTTGAACAAGGAGATAGAGCCAGCAACAAAAGTACATAACTCGAAGTTAGGTCAACACTCCGTGTACTGGAAGTGACGGTACCTAAGGAAACTTTTACGTACATTTTCTAAGTGTGACAGATAAAAGGTTGTCCCTCTTTTAGGCTTTAATAGAATTTTGTGAATTATTTACGAATTATGTGAATTGCTCAGTCTAAAAACGAAAAAAAAAAACAAGTTTTAGAAAACATTTGTCGAGCTTTTAAGTTGTTAAGATGTTATTCGATGACCGTGATTGTTATTTGAGTGTTTGTAATCAATCTTATAAACAGACATGTGATGTTACGCGAACATTTGGATGAATTGTAAACGATTTCTATACCTCTGAAATAATGTATCGAGAAAAAAAAAAACTTTGTAACGCGAAACCAAACGCGTGCCAGAGAAAAATGGGTTCTCAGGCAAGTGTCACTGTTACCTCACTTGGCAACAAAGGGAGAAGGGACTGACAGCTTCCGGAGCTGCCAGCTAAAATGTCGTTATTCCGTTACGACATTTTAAAATGGCGGGGAGCTCTGTGAGGCTCTGGACAGGTCCAAACCCTCACTAAAATTCGCGGAAAATAATTGTTTTAGAAAAAAATATTTAGTAGTTAGAAATAGATTTTTATTATATGAAAATGCGACGCTAACTTTAAAACAATAGAAGAAGGTAAGTCCGTCGACCATTTCCGGTTGGAGATCGAATTAAACTTCGATTTTGACCTCTCCCGCNAAGACATTCATTCTACATTTATTATGTAAGGAATAAAACACACCTGAAACGTATGGAGTGGCTGGAAATTTACAATGCCAATTTTAGAAAAAAAACAATAAACTTTAAAGACAATTACACTGTTGTGGGTGTGTAGAGATCCTTTTTCTGAAATTTCATAATTTAAAAAATATTCTTATGACATGTGGAAGGGTGTAATCAAACTTATGTTTGAATCTGATTAAATTTTTAACTGTACATTCTATTTTAAAACATTAAATTACCTGATGGTGTCTAATGAATATGGCCAAAAGCATTTGTAAAAGATCAAAGTTTATTTATTTATATTAATTAGTGCTGGTTTATTTGATTGGTTTATATGCAACATATAAACAAACATCAGCTAACCCGATAAACATTAAAGCAACCAAAGTTGTATAATTATTAAATTTAGCATGAGATGGCACCTAATGCCTAACTCTAATACCAAATTATCTCAAATTATTATTATTATTATTATTATTATTATAGCCATTTCTAGCCTGTTAATTCGGCTTTGGTTGCTTTAATGTTTTATGCAACAATTTATCTAGTTAGTAAACATGTAGAGTTATAAATGTATTGTGTATTTTCAGCAAATAATTCTGAATTCTTTATAAAATTAAGTTTATCTAAATATAGTTAAATATATATTAACTAACATTGTTATAAGTAGAGATCATATTTGTTAATGATAATTAAGTATTCACTACCAATAATTATAATTGTTAGTGAATACTTAAATGCTATTTATAGTAAAATAATGTGCACATAAATTGCCTAGTTTATGCAATAGTAAACATAATTTGTTATTCAAAGAGAAGAAAAAGAAAGAAAAATGTTAGATATGTACAAAAAAATGATAATAAATAATGTTTGAGTAGACATAATTGAAATTAATATTCAAAATAACAAAAATAGTTTTTCTTAAACAGTTTTCAAGATATTTATTTAAATTTGGAGTTGTTTAGTGTGTTATTATCATCAAAAGTTACATTTAATAAGCATATAATTTTTTACATTACAAGTATAATTTGATTTCAAACTGTAATACATTTAACATAAGAAAACAAAAGATCATATAAAAAAGTTCTACTGAAATTTTTAAAATCATTGACTTCTTTAAAATTTTAGCATTTCTTATTTTCCTCTATTGCTCACCTATTTTAAAGACCCTAGATTCAGAAATTTAATAATTGTAGAGAATATTCATTGTAATTTACGTTAGAATATTTCCTCAATATTGGTTTGTCCTTTCAGTGTCTTCTTGTTTGGGATCAAACAGCATAGCTAATCGCACTTTTAAATTTTCTGTCTTAAGTTTCAACGAAACATGTTTTTTATTATATAACACTCACCAAATAAACCATCACCAGTTCATAACCAAACAGAAAAAATTCTTTCTACAAACGTTTTCATCTATATGTAATAGACATCCTCAGGTATTGATGATATCAAACTACCGGCTAGTAGAATAGAATGTTTATTATTATTATTATTATTATCTTTTTTTTTTTCTGAAAATATATATTAAATGTCAGGATTTATAAAGATATAAAAGTAGCAAAAAAAAAAAAATTATGATTATTTAGAAAGTGCTTTTCTTCTTACAAAATATTGTCTCAGCTATCAAATATTGTAGATATGTACATGATTTTTTGAACATTACTGAACTTTAATGTTATCTGTATGTAATAAATAGGGGGTGTGTCAGAGTTGCCAAGCGTGTGAGTGAACTTTTTTCAGAGGTTGATAGAACAAGTTTCAGATGGAAATAACAAAAAATTATGCAATGTGGTATATACAAATTAGAATTGTTGACACTAAATTAACTTTGGGATTGATTAAAATGCCATTAATAATTGCCAGAATCGAAATAAATCCTGGTCCTCTCTCCTGCTCACCACTTCGGTCAAGTCAGTTGGATATGCAAAAAAGGGGTGGGGTAGACCTCGGAATGAAAGTCACAAGGATGAAGAAAGGGAAATGCAGTTACTGGAAAGTTTAAGTGAGGAATACCAAATTGAAGAAAAGGTTGAAAGAAATAGAGACCTCAAAATTTAAGAATTCAGGATTATTTTAGACCGAGAAGAGAAACTGAAAAACAAGGTATTTATGATTCGCAATATACATTGAAATTTATATATGAATTAATTCAGGAAAAATTTTGCCAGTTGAACTTAGAAATTCAATCAATAAAAGCTGAAGTTAATAAGATAAAAGAAGAAAACAATAGTTATAAGGAAGATATGAAGATAATTTGTTACAAGATACAAAAATTAGAAGAAAATTATAAAAATAACAAAAAGTTAAAAGGAATATTTGAATTTGATAAATTGGTAAATGAGACTACTAACAAGAACATAATAATTTTTAATTATCCGGTTAAAACATGGAACGTTGCTCAAGAAATCAAACAATTTATTAACAAAGAATTAGGACTAAAAAATATAGAAATTGAAGGACTAGTTCAACTTAAAAATAGTAAGAATAACCTAATAATAAAAGTGATTCTGGAATCTGTAAAAGATAGAAATTTAGTTCTTAAGAGCTTTTGGACTTTGAAACCAAAAATTGTTAAAGAAACCAGCAAAGAAATAATAATTACAATGGATTTGGGTATCAGATCAAGAATTAGAAAAAAAAAACTACAGGATCAAATCAAAGTAGAGAAAACTAGTATAAATAAAATATTAATAAGAGGAGATTATTATATTATGGATAATATAATATATATATAGTCGATATGAATACAAACAAGATTATTCAAATGGCTTGTTTTGTTAGAAATAGACAGATGACTAAAAAGAATAGGACTGGCATGAGAATTATACTGAATTAAGTTTAGATCCCTCAAATAAGAAAACAGTAATTGAAAATAATTGTAATAAAAGCTTGGTAAAACTGGAAGATAGTAAAAGAAAAAATGGCAGTAAAAATATGAGAGAGACTAATAAAGACAAAAATATTTTTCTAATATGGTTTTGGAGAATATAGGGTCTTTGTGGAAAAATTGACAAAGTATTACTAAAGGAATTCATGGATTCGAACATTATAATTGGTTTTATGGAAACCTGGTTGATAAATTTAAGTGACAGTCAAAGCTAATAGTTAATAAACAACTTGGTTAAAATATTTAGTAAAGCAAAAATGAAGAAACAAGACTAATTTAATCTACTAAGTAAATGTAGTAATCATAAATATAGGTTTAATAAAAGAAAGTAAGATCCTTGTAATGCTAAAAATAATGAGATAGTGTATTCGGAATATTGAATAAACTTAAGTGTTTTAGAACAGGTGTAAAAAGGAACTTACTAAATGTGATGTATAAGTTAGAATATAAATATTTGAACGAAATTTGTGTAGATATTTTAAAAAATTGTGAAATCTAACCAACCTGTTTGTAACAGGCGGAAGCCTTTTATGACTAATAAAGATTGAATTGAATTGTATGTAATAAATATTCTATATTTGTATTCATACAAATAAATATAATAAAACTTTTATTTTTATTTAGTAATAGTGATCCTGAAGTTGATAAAAATTCATGTGCTGAATCAAATTTTGAAGATAAACCAACTTCAATACAGGTATGAATTTGAGATAATTTTATAAACATTTTAACTTTTGTCTATATCTGATAAGTATTATAAAGTACTTTTGATTAATTATAATACCATAATTATGAAAGATTAATTTAGACCAAGTTTTTTTTTGTTATATGATTCCTGTGATAATATGTAGGATTCAGGAGGAGAATATAATTCTATTTAACTGCCATAAAGAGTATAAAAATTTTCAAAAGTTAACAGTTGACTAGATAATCACACAATAAAATATCCTATTATTGCCATGAAGATCTAAATTTGAATTAAACTTGATTTGATTGATTTATCTAAGCATCATTTCTTTTTCTTTTTTGTTTTATTTACTCATGATAGTCAATTCATGTATTCAAATTAAGTCTTCTTGTAATGAGCAAATTAATGAAAGCTATATAACACATTGCGTGTTAGTATCACATATTATGAAATCAGGAAAAATCAAATTATATAAAAATGTTATAATTTTTATTAAAAAAATTAAGAAAAGAATGTAGGATGATATTCATTATATAAATGGAATGCAGCTTTGTCTCATATGATTATTAAATATGATTATTAATTATTTCAGTATGATTATTTTTTACTATATTATTCATTTTGATAAAGTAAAATGAGTAGTTTGCTGTACTGTGCGATAACTTAATGAAATTATAAACCAATATCCAGATAATCTTATAACATTATGTACAATTAGTAAATATCAAAAACATTTTATTATTTATATATAGTCTGTTTAAGTTTATATTCTAAAATAGATTTATAAACATACTAAATAGTTTTTACTAATAATAATGAATAAATAGATAAGAAAACTATCAAAGAATTGAGTGAAAAATGATATTAAATTTACTTTTCATGAAAAATATTTTACGTTATAAAAATTTTAAAATGCAGTTGGTATTGGTTAATTAAAATGCAGTTGGATTTCCAGTTACATTTACTCTTACAGATTTTATTTTATAGGATGAGAATTTAATATTAATTTGAATATATTTTTCTATCTAATCTTTATTGATACTAAAGTGTACTACAACATACCTAAAGTCATTTAGAACTGTTGCATTTCAATGGTGATTCAGGCTAGATTAAAAAAAGTAATCTGAAACAATTTTCATTATTTTGATGATAATATCTGGAATGTTTTTCAAGCAATTATTCAATAACTTGTAAATAATGAGTTTGAGTTTGTAAATGTTTACAAACTCAATAAAGTCGTCATCATTAAATTACACAATCATATATTTGATTTTCCCTTATATCATACATCAGTGTGAATGCAGATTGTACTACAAAACTTGTAATATAGCAAAAATTCAAGCAAAAACATATGTGAATTATTTAAATGCAATGAGCATCTTTAATGTGATATAATTAATAAATTTGCATAATTAATGTTTCTTAATAGCTAAAAATTTACATCATCTCTGATTGAAATGTTTTTATTATTTGATTTCAAACAAATTAAACTTTTAATTTTTTTTATTTACAAATACTTATTGGCCAACTTTATACTTACTTGTCAGAATAAGTGCAGGCAATTTTAACATGCAAATGAAAGCAAGTTTTTCAGAGAAAGAAGCAATATATTCAATAATATATAGGCTGTTTTCAGCAATCAGGAATTATGAAACTGCCCACAATCTTTTGCTCAAAGAACTTCCTGTTTTTCATAACAAAAAAATTACATCAAGTGCCATTTGATGCCTTTCTTGGAAACAAAATGTCCATTTAAGGAATTCCAAAAAGAGTATAACAAATGATAATCAGAGGGGCAATATCTGGTGAATATGGAGGATATGGTAATACCACCCAGTTCAGCTTCAATAATTCTTGCCATGTTTGCAAAAATGAGTAAGATCTGGCATTGTTGTGATGGAAAACAACAATGCATTCAGTTTATCCTGCTGGCTTCCAGCACACAAACAAATTGATTGTCTCTTCTTCAGAAATAGCTCATAGAACATAATACCCTTCCACTCTAAGTTGAGAGCATGATTTTGTTTGGATGAAGCCCTGTCTTTGAAATGGTTTGTGGTGATTTACTATACAGCTTCCATTATTGTTTTCACTCAACATTGTTGAATATGATGATTTTTTCATCACTGGTTATCATCCACTTCATGAATGGATCACTTTCTTTACATTTTCTTAGTGAATCACAGAAGGAAATGCATTCTGGGAGATTTGCTTCAGTCAATTTGTGCAGAACTAAATATTAAATCTGCTAATGAACCCAAGTCACTGCAGAATGTTTTTCTACCCATAATTTTGATATTTGTAGAATGTCTGCAATATCCCAGGTTGTATAGTGTGGACTGATGTCTATTAGCACTTTCACTTTGTCAGTGTCATTCTCATGTCCAACCCAAGTATAGTGTGTCTTGAATAGAAAAATTTCCAGAGAAAAACCTTGCAAACCACTTTTAGCACATGTGTTTTTTAAAGACTGCACATATATTTTTGCAGGTTTGTATTGTGTTTTTTTCTTTTCTAAATAAAGAAGCATAAGATGCCAAAATGCTTATTTTGTTTTTTCATCTTTCAAACAAAAAACAACCAGTCTTTATGCATTGTTTTAAGAAAATAAATTCATCATTTAATTTTTTAAAAAAGTGTAAAGATTGGTTGTGTTTTGTGTGTTTATAACCATTTGAAATATCAATTTCAAACAGTTATGTGCCTTCAGAATTTGAATTGAAGTTTGTTGCATTTCATAATGTCTACCTATATCAATAAAAACTGATGGATTTATTAGCCAACCTCTTATATGTTTTTTTTCTTTACTGTTATTATTTATTTACACTAATATAAATTGCTGGAATAGAAAAATTTCCAGTCTAATAAAATAACTGCTTTACCAAATAAATAAAATTACTTATTCAATAGTACTAGCACAAAATGTTAATTTAATGAAAAAACAATCTATTTATTATACATTGTTTCATAGCAAAATTTAAAATGGACTAAGGTCTTAAAACAAAAGCTAATATTTAACATTCTAAAAAATACAATTTAGAATCATTCCTTAATTTTTGGAAACAAAATTATAATTATTGTGATTTATAACTTAAATTTTTAAATTGTATTTGAATTGTCATTTGAAGATAATTTAATATAAATTACACGTAACACATGTAATGATTTATAACTTTTATAACATGCTAATTAAAATAAACTATTTTGTCTGTATCAATCATTGAATAATAAAAGGCTATACCTGTTGAAATTTAGCAGTGGTTAAATCATTATCATTTTTATTTTGCTACATGTCAAAAACTGATGTAAATTAAAGATTAACAACACATTAAATACTCTATCTTGTAATTATCAAAAAATTTTTATAATATAAAAAAATGATGTTTTAGTTACAGAAAGAAAATATTTAAAAATTTGTATATTTTATTTTATTTAAAATATGACAAAAAAATAAAAACACAAAAAAAGGCTGTAATAATTTTTTAAAAAAAGGTAAATAATAAAAACATTGAAAGTAATTGAATTTATAAAATACTGATATAAAGTGAATATCAAGATAGAAATATTCTATTTGAATATATTAACATATTGTTATTTTTATTACTAAAATTATTTTCCAAACATTAAATTTAAGAAAAAGCCCTTTTAAAGAATTTTTTTCTTGTTTTATTTGTTACTGAAAGGTGTAGCTTTTGTATTTTCATATGTAAATTGACAAAAAAAAAAGTTTTTTTCTAAATATCACTTTTGGTAGCTGTTATTATGTTCTATGTATGTATGTCTCTTTAATACGACATTAAGTTTGGTAGACTATCATTACAGCTTTCAGGTTAGACACTTCTTTTATTGTTTCCATATAACATTTATATAAGTCCGAAATGCATATGTGGAAACAATAAAAGAAGTGTTTAACCTGAAAGCTGTAATGATAGTCTACCAAACTTAATGTCGGATTAAAGAGACATACATACATAAAAAAGTTTTGTCAATTTACATATGAAAATACAAAATCAAATTATTTATAAATACAAAATATTTTATTATTACATTATTTATTCTAATATATATGTTGTTTTAGTTTTTACCAAATATTTTTAATTTACTAGATTATTTTTTTAATGCTGTATAATTTACACTCTTAAAATTTATGTAAAAAAGTTATTGTGTAGATTTATTAACTGAAATATAATGATAATTTCTTATATATCGATACTATAGAAGGATGATATAACTCAAGAAAAATCACAAAATCCTGTTGGACTTTCCAAAGGTAATTTTTAAATTTAACTTTTACCAGTTTTTCTTACAGTTGTTACATATAATTTATATTATATTTAAGTTAAAATTTAAACTTTAAATTTGAACATAATTATCATTTATAATGTTAAATTATCTTGATATATTTCATAACAATATACTTTACAAACTAGATTGTTTGAACTTAATATGGAGGATGTAAATTTCAATATTTCTTTAAAAGACAATTTTCAACAATATTGCAATCTTTTTATCATCAGTGAATCAGTAGACAGAAGATTTAATAATTTCATTTTATCAAAATGCACTTTGATGAATATGATCCTTCTCTTTTTTAAAGATAAAGTTAAGAAAAGGAAACAATTATAAAAAAGTTCTTTAATGTTAAAATATTTAAATGCGAAACTTTCTGATTATTTTTTGATAAGTTTTTAAAATTCAGTTCTCTATTGATAAGCAAATCATATTTATATCATTCATAAGACAAAACACTAATAATTTTTAGTTAGTTTATTTCCTTATAAAACTTTTTCAAAAATGTATACCACAACAAAATTCACTCATTTCTTGTGATTTCTTTGCATGCTCATATGACAGACACAAAGATGTAAATTTATAAGAAATATGCAGAAATTTGTTTTGAATAATTTGTAAAATCTAATAATTAACATCATATATTTACTAACTGTTATATTTTTTTGAATAGAAAAACTGCTTGAAAGAGCTTTACAATCAATGAGACAGCCTAGAGGCATATCATTTGGACGAGGTAGAGGAGTATATCATGGAACATGTATGGGTGGTATGTAAATGATTATTAATTAAAATTTTTATTAGAAAATATTCAAAAACTATGTGATGATATGCTAAGTTCTACTGAATTTAGTGCAAATTTTTTATATATAAAATTACATTTATTATCCAGTATTTCTTATATTTAAAATTCAATTTATTTTACAAAAAAATATCCAAACATTATACAATAGACTCAATACTTTTAAATGGAAGAGAGAGAGAAAAGTTGTTCAGTAATGGAAGCTACCATGATTTTAATGAGACCATAAATATTATAATAAAAATAAGTAGTTATTTATTGTGACATCGCAATGCCAGGTTGCGATTTTAATCATATTTTTATTAGTTTATTTAATTTAAAATATATGCTCTCCATCTTAAATTAGTAGTGGCTTGCCCCTGTACATTATATTTTTTTTTAACAATAGAGTTATGCCAGTAATCTGCTTTCAGGGGAAGTTTTGAATTGCAATAACGTGACTTCGGGTTTGTATCAGAAGTTCATATGTACTTAATCAGTGCTTTCTTCCCCTAATACCCTGTTCACACCGAGCATTTCGATCTAGATTGTGATTAAAGTCGGAGCCTGTTCCGTGGTGCAAACGCTTTCGACTGTTTCAATCTCAACTGAAACGAGATTCAATCGTGATCGACTGGAGAGAGTTCTTGAAACTAGATCCAGTTATAAGAGAGATCCCACAATACCACGCGCGTGAGAAAATACAAGAGGGCTGCGGAACACGTGTCGGGCTATCGACAGAGAAATAAAAAAGACAGCTGGAGAGACGACGACATTTGTCTATTATTAGATGTATGGCAAGAAAAAGTATTTATTTCTAACCAAAACTTTCATTTTGTCTGTTGGTGTTTGTGACTTACCGCGTACTTACGTCAGTTTTATGATCGTGTGTAATATCCAGGTTCTTCTTGAGCAGACTGCCTGTGTGAACAGCACGCCGTTCGACTAGCGACAGTCACAATCCACATTGTAGGTAAATCGAGATCGAAGCGAGTTGTGGATTGTGTGCAAACATAGTATAAGGTTTCTATATCTAGTCTCAGATTTCGTCTATCTAACTCAATTCTTGAGACTAAGGAAAGACAGATGGACTGATATATATATATTTCAGCTACTCTAGCATTTTACATTTATCCTTTCTTTTCTGTTTTGTGGTGTTCTATTGTTCATTGAAGTGTTAAAAATCCTCTTTTTTGTTTTTAGATATGTAGAGAGAAAACTTGATTGAATGTCAAATTCTTTTCACAATTTTTAATTTTTTTTCTTTTGGCTTTTTGTTTTTCTCCAGTCTTTATGTTGGATATGTTTTCTACTATTGACAAAATCTTTAGTTTTCTTTTGTTTGTCATTTCTATTTACTTCAAAATGAAAATGGTTGCTACACTGATTAGTTGGTCATTATTAGTGATGAAAATGCCAACATGCAATTCAAACTTTACATTGAAATTCATACAGTATGATTATTTAGTTTCAAATAAGGAGATATATATTATATATAATGACCTTAAATATGATTGACCAAAAAACTCAGTAAGTTGTGAAAATGTAGATGTGTTAATAATGACTTTAATAATGAACACAGAACCAGTGTGAGGAAAACAAAAAACTATCTTTGGACAAACGTTTTTTTAACTCCTCCTGAGTTCTTCAGGTGATAATCAGAAGGAATTAAAAAATGTTTGTCCAAAGATAGGTTTTTTTTTTGTTTTCCTCACCCCAGTTATTGGTTCTGTGTTCATTATTATGTATTTCCCAGTGTGGTGTGTTGTAATTAACAATTTTAAAATACAAAGATTTGATTAGTCAATTAGTGTTTAAGAATAAGGAAACATCAGGCATCAAACATTAAAATTTTGAATTTTATGTTGTGCAGTCAGAGGGTGTCTTTACAATATCAATTTTTAACTTTTTAGTAATACTGTTTATCCCATTTAAAATGAAAAAGAAAGCAGGCAAAATTAGACAGGAAATATAGTAGTCTTGATAATTTCTGTTGATCAGGAATAAGACAACCTCACACTATTGAAAACTCAAAGTATACAGAATATACATACAGGGTTCCTATGCACCTGGGAAATTAGGGAATTTGTCAAAAAGTCAGGAAATTTGCCTCCTTGGCTGCCTTTTTGATTTTTTTGCTCACATAATGGTTGACCAAGTGTAGCTGTCTGCAGGCAGCAAGAAGTAATGTGCAATGCAACTTATGAAAAGGGGTACAGAATATTTTTAGGGTTCAAAATTTCTCTTAAATGTAAAAATGAATTTAAAAACTCATGCCAATATTTGTATAACTTATGGATACAAATTCACTGAGTTCAGCATTAATAAAGTTCCTTTAGTATTAACACGAGCACTTTCAACAAGTATTCAGGTGAAAAGAACAAATTTTAACAAGACAACATGCAGGATGTTCCAAAGGAACAGAATATTCAAAAGTCAAACAGGCGTCCGGAAATTCTGTTAAGAATGTGCAAATAATTTTTGATATGTTCGAATCTTTATATTTTACGATGCTAGCGGTGCATGCGTGGAAATGCTGCCGCGTTGGCGATACAATGTTAGGCGCGTTTCGTTTTTTAGGCGCCGATATAAGGCAATCTACACCCCGGGTAGATTGAGGGTGGGAACATTGCACGCTTCTGAAGTAGCCGTGAGAAGCACTTCCCAGATAAACACAAGCCTTCGATTGTTGCAGCATTTAATTATTTCCATTCTGGGCCATAATGGATTGCAGCCTTGCTCAAGAACTTTTTTAGCGAGCTCTGTAGAACATCTTCCTTTGGCTACAATCCTGATGCTCAGCAAGGCGGGAAGCAAGCATTCTTGTTGTTGCTCTTATGTATCTTGTAATATTTCCCATTACCGGATTTTCTAGTGTATCGTGTAAACCCCTGACTTTTCTAAAGTAGCTAGCCTGTCCCGATCATTGCAGATACATCTGCGTAGGTTTGGTAGGGGGGTTATGGGTAGTATGAAATTATATCGCCAAAATAACACTGAAATAACGAAATTTATTAACGCTGAACTCAGTGAATCTGTATCCATAAGTTCTCTTAAACATACACAAAATTCTCCAAAAAATTATTATGCACAAAATAAAACCATAATTTAATTAATAATTATTATTACATAGTTTGGAAAATCATACATGTAATTAAATAGGCCTGCCATACAATTTGCCATGCAGCACTAAACTGGTAAGTTAACATAAAAATATTTTAAAGAATGCTTTAATTTAAACAAGTGTTGTCATCATCATAGAATAGTATACACAATCATAAACTTGATGCAATATGTTGATTAATAGAAATAAAATTGAATTCAGTGCCATGAATGATTATTTTTATTTTTAGCACAGACAACAATTAACAGACTTTTTGACATCCAAAAATGCAAAATTTATTTATAACTGACTTCAGAATGAATTTTTAGAAGGCTTAAAAATTTCATTTATGGATGAACTACAAGTAATGAACACAAAAAAATACTTTAAAAGGAAAATTTTGGATTCGGCAAGAAAATTTTCATATTATAGAAGTTATTTTCTCAACATGGCCATTTTATCTACTGTCTAAAACACTCCTAAAAAGTTAAATTATTTTAACTAAAGTTAATAAGAAAAATTACATACATTTATAATTTAAATAATTTCATTAAAACACTAAAATTTTTTGAAATTACTTGAAATTTTAAAACAATACAAGCTGGGTTTGGGCCCTGATAATTAATACTGACTTCCTTATGTGCTTGACCTATGAATGGTGAGTGGATAAAACACTAGTAGTTGGTTACAGGTGTGCATCTCACCAGCAGGTTGACTACATGGAATTTTTCAGGTTTTTTTCACTTATCTATCACCTAAATAGAGTCAGTTTCTTGTAGAAAGTGTTCCTGGCAGGCATCCCTCCTTGGCAGATTGTTCAAGTGTTGCTTTGACTTCTCTCACCAATCTATCCATTCTGGGATAATTAACTGCTTTCCATATCTGACATCATTGAAAGCATCATCTGAAAACAAAATTTTTGCATAGTGTCTAGTGCTGAACAATAGAAAATTTCTTATCCCAATATTTGAGATTATTTGGATAGTAGATTCCTTAACAATATATGGTCCATGGATCCCTGCAGGTCTGCAAATATTTTGACAGGAATCCTTGAGTTTATAGAAGAAAAAGAAGCATATTCTATGTGAAAATTAAAAAAGAAATGTTTTTCTGTAATGTTTTTGTTTTAATAAAGGTAAATATTATTTTAAGAAACCTTATTAAAAATATATATTTTTAATTAAATTTTTAATCTAGAGTGTCTGCCAAAAGTTTTATTTTATTAAAGTGGTCTACCAGAAGGTAAAGTTTGAGAAACATTAGGTTAATGCATGCCATTGAGGTATTTTGTGCTTAAAGGCATGTAGTTTTTCAATTTTTCAAAACTATGAAGTTTTTCTCTTACAATTTAAATAAAGATACACTGTTGGATTATTAAAAAAGGATTATTTTGTACTGACCCAAAATTATTTGTATGTTCAAAATTTGATTTAATCACAAAGATACACTGTTGATGATAACGATATTAAAACTATTACAGTGAAATGTTGAGGTGTATATAATATAAATTTAAATAATACACAATACACAAGTGTTATTCATCAATATATTTTTTGTTATTATACCTAAAGACCAAGTTCTTAAGCAGTTCTTTTAACTTTGTACAATCATATAAGATGAGCTAATTTTAATTTTTACATTTAATAAGTTTTATGTTTAATAAGATTTACTTATTATTCTATTGCATTGTAAAGACTGTATTTTAAAATCACTCAAAATTATACCTTATAAATTGTGATCACTTTACACAAAATCAAAAAATATATACAATGTTTAGACAATTATTAGATATTTATTTCTTTTATTGATAGTGCAGATTAATTTTAAAAATTAACATTGATTGTTTATGTGAAGAATTATTGTAAAATGCAACAGGAAGGAGAGCATTGCAAAATTCCAAGGGATCCAACTAAGTCCCAGATATAACAAATGGCAATATCAGTTGTCATTTTTAAATTTTAAAACACTTTTAGATATGAGATGATATGAAATTGAGAGAAAAGTCTATCATACTCGTAATAATCTAGCATTGATAAAAATTTTTTGAAATTCTTCACAATTATCATATAAATTTATGGATTAATATAAGATTCAACTAATTTAATTTAATAAAACATTTTATATTTAATTTTAATTAAGCAGTGATTATGAAAAAATAAACAACTGTTAATTATAAAAAATAACTAATTAAAAAGTTGAAGAAGCAATAGTGTATGTGTGTAGTAAGTCAAATGCTGTTTATTTTGACAATGTGCATTACTGTAAGGGATGTGAGGTTCAAGGAAAGTCATGGGATTTAAAACAAAAATTTGAGTAGGAACCCTGTATATACAATGGAAAACAGTAATGAGTAAAGGCATTAAACAATGTGTTTACATAATGCAATTATTATTATAAAATAATGATTATTACATAAAGTATAATAATATATTGCATTTAGCACTTAAAATACATGATGTCCTGTACAATACAAGGCAAGTGGCAACCGTATCTGAATGTAACTGGTAACAATATCACTTCATAACACAATAAATTGAAAGCCAATGTTAGACCTTTCAGTGTGGTGTACTTACAATTTCAGTGTATGGTATCTCATCACACACTTGATTTGAATTACCCAAATATGTAATTTTTACCCATTCTAGTTGAGTACATGTACTTTGGTTTAAGGGTAGTAGTGCCTAGAACTATACAGAACCTCAAATTATCAAGACTCTGCTGCTGTTTTTGGATCTTAAATTTTGAGTTAGTGAAATATGAAACTACTTTAAAACAGAATGCATTGAGTCTATGAGAATTAAGTTACAATGAAAATAAAATTTGAGTTAAGAAGTTTGACTTATTTACTGCACTCATACATGCACACACAAGAAGATTGTAATTAAAGTATCCCTATTCAGTGATGTCTAGAGAGAGATTTAGCAGTTCAAATGCAACCAAATCTAGTATGATGAACAGAGTAAGAAATATAATACAATAAAATGGCTGAAGTTAAAGGTTAGTAACTTCAAAATCTTTAATATCATCCTCAGTGCTTCTGTGTAGGATAGATTTTTGAAAAAGAATGTTTGGCTTTATTTGTATGTTTGAACATCTCAGAATTTCTAGTAAAGGGATAACTATGTGAAAGCACTGCAGATGAACTTAAAAAGGGTTGAAAAAATTTTGAAGTTAGAATAAAACAACTGGAGGTAAATGTTAGTGTTATGTTTATTATTTCAAGATAAGCAAAAGACATTTTCATGAGAAAAAATTAATACCAAAAGTCACCATTATGGCACTTTTAGTAGTTTAGACTTTAATCTGTGTGAATTTTGGAGACACTTAAAAAAGATGGTTTATCACGGACATGTTGCAAATTTGGCAGCCTCAAAACAGATTATGCTGAATATGAGAAGCATCACAGTGAATCAATTACGGTTGTCTATTTTCAGATTTTACACATCCAGAATGGGGCTTTAGCAACCAATAACTTCTGCATTGCTAAAGTTATTGTATAGCATAGGTATCATGTACAAATAAAATGTCATTAATAAAAAGTGCTTGCAGTGCTGCTTTGGTTTCTTTTATAGAAATTTTTCTGCATGTTCTGAACTGTCACCATACCACGTTTGGTTTCATTTGAACTACTAAATATCTCTCTAGCTATCATATAAGTCCCTCACAATGGCATGAATAGCCTTTAATTTCTCAACTTTTTATGTCTTTGATGATCAAATATACTGTATTTACTTGGGTATAAGACAATCTCCATATAGGACAAAGTGTGACTTTAGAGATAAAAATAAAGAAAATTAGATTTATTAATACACTTCTAATAATATTTTGTGATTAAATAAAATCAAATGCATGTATTAAGGCAAATAACCATGTTTGCCTTAATACGTGATGAATGGAAAACAAAACCAAAACATTATAGTGTGCGTGACTGGAAAAAGTTTATTTTTAATGATTCAGAATGTGCTAATATTCATTAAAAATAACAATTTAACTAATATAAACAAAGGGGATGTGTGTCTTAATTTGTTTACAGTAGATGCCAACTTACAATAAATAGACTGTAGACCTATAATGACAGCATGAAGTATACACGGTTCACAGAAATTATTGCAAAAATGCAAAACATCCTTCGTTTGCACGTATAGGATGACCTAGGTTTTTGAAGCAGTGAAAAATGAATAAAAATCTTGTCTTGTATGCAAGTAAATACAGTATATAACAAATTTTATGGTGAATAAAGTATATCATACTGAAGAAATATTTATTAAATGAAATCTATAAAAATAGTTATATCACTAAAATATGAGTACAAATGTTTTAAATTATGATAGTTAAGAAATTACTATAAATATTCTTCAATTATTTCTTTTAACAAATAATTAAAGAATATTTATAGTAATTTCTAATAACTATCATAATTAACAGCAAATCTTTATTGTGAGAAATTAAAAAAAAAAAACTTTTAACTTATGCTTAATGTTTTTAAAAATGTAAATATTTTTGTTTAATTTATTTAAAAACATTGCTGCTAAATTATTTGGCTTATTCGTTTTATTAAATTGTACATTATAGAAAAATTTTCTACACCCAAAAATCCTGTTGGATTAGGCCGTGGAATTAGTCCAGGTAATTAAATAATTTTTTAAATTCATAGTTTCTATTTACATTTAATATTTTGATTTTTGTAAATATATTCTTTTTATACAGTGTATAATAAAAACTCATCACTTGATAAGGATAATGAAAGGAATACTGAAGAAATTTCTGAAAAAATAAAAGCACTTATTAATTTTTTACCCCCATGTGAACCTGGAGAAGTGAGAGAGATTCCTAAGTATTATTTTATTCTTTATTTTTTATACAAAAGATTAATCATAATACCCAATAAGAATTTTGATTCAATAGTTGGAAATTGTTAATAAAATTTTTAGAAAGAGAGAATTTCTCCCGTAAAAATTAAAATAGATGTAAACATACATGTTAGTACTTATTAGAGAGGTTGAGGCACACGTTTTAAACATGTAAACGTGTACGTGTGACGTTCGGCGCTGCTTTCCCGTAAGCCTAAAAGTTTGACGATGGTGTTTGGAATGTCGAGCGTGATTCCACCGACTATCCAAACATCATTGTCAAACTTTTAGGCTTATGGGAAAGCGGCGCCGAACGTCACACGTACACGTTTACACGTTTAAAACGTGTGCCTCAACCT